AGTATTTTGTGTATCTATTTGTAAACTCCCAGGAAATGAGAGCTTGCTGCTGGTGAAGGTGTGGCTGCTCTTGGCTATATCTGGAGTTCCTGTTCTGCCAATGTGTGTGTGTGTGACTTGGAGCACAGCAGTAGTAACGCCAACTCCAGTGGCGCTTCTCGGGCTTACGTCTCACATTCCAAAGTACAGTGTTTTTTGACAATCAGGCCCTAAGAAGCTCTTTGAGGTTACTTTTAGGGTTTTTGCAAAGGTCTCTACGTTGGTTCCTATGTTGCTATCGCTCTTTTCCCTCTTTCCCATCCCTCTTTTCCACCCGTCCCCCCCTCTCCATGTCTCTGCTGTCCCCATAGTGCACTGACTCAGAGTTCAACACAGATGTTGTGTAATGCCATTTTTTGCCAGGAGTTTAAATTCAGTGGGGCAGATGTGAATATAGTCTGCTGACCAGGGTTTACTCCTTCCATTTAAGTGGACAATCTGAAGCATTACTAAATGTAGAGAGGCAGCTTTATAGCTGTGCATTTGCATCAGTTCTGTACCTGTATTCATCCACTCACAATGTAATTTGCATCCTACTGCACTTGAAATTTTGGGAAGGATGTCATGATAAACTGTATTTTTCCTACATGATCATTTTAAAGCACAAGTTGAACTGAGGTTGGTATGGTCTTCAGTGGCTGGCAAAGGCTTTCAGTTTACTGGTGAACATGGTGTTATGCCATCTCTGCAACATGGCTGTTCCTGTGTAAGAAATCTTAAGGCAGTCTTTCATTTATTCCAGCACGTGACCTTCTGGGCTCTCTTCTGTCTTCTGAAAATAGCATTGCTTCTCTGTTTGCCAGCCTGTGTGCTGGAAAGCATCCTCCATTTCCTTTCTTAACACTCCACAGTTTACCTGTGCCACCTTTTAAATAGATGCGTGCTTTAAAAAAAGTCACATACCGTATTTTCTGTACTAGACACCAGGCCTTCCAAATGGCAAATTGGTGAGATGCGACTTTGATTGCTGCAGAGCAGCATTGTGAAAGGGGGAACCTCTTAATCTATGGGAAATCTGACTGTTAAGAACTTAAAAGTGAGTACAGAGTGAAGGTAGCCAGGAAGAAATCTGAATAAGTTCAAGTATGGTCTTTTGTTTACTGATAATGAATGCTTTGTATTAACAGTGGCTAAACATGGAATCTTGTGGGTGGGAATTTTTTTGTCTGCTTGGTGGGAAAAATTAAAAGGAACCTTGTTAAGTGGCTATTGTTGATCTTATGGATAATGCTGTTGCCAGGATATGTGACCATATGACATCCAATTATGAAGCCAGGTTGTCTCTTGGGTGAAATTAACATAGCTCTGAGGTACTTGTTAGAAACAGCTCTCCTGATGGAGATCCTGTTGCCTTCTTCTGCAGACTTTTGCTAGAGCATAACACACACAACAGAGAATGTGAATTCCCTCATTTGGAAGGGCATAAATTCTATAGCAAAATAATCTCTTGCTTTGGTGTAGTTTTTTGGGTTTTGTTTGTGTTTGTTTTTTTTCCTTTGCCTTTCCCCTTTATGCTGATTTTGTGTGTCTAGGGGTGTTTTTGGTTTCATTGGTAGATGTCTGGAGAAAATGGAAGCTGCTGTTTATTTCTAGTGTACAATCACAAGTTGTGTGTGTGCTGCATGTGACTGCTAAACAAGTTAATGTATTGGGAAATAAAGAAAGGAAAGATTATGAGTAGATTTGGCTGTTACAATCTTGGGTTGTGGTCTTGCATGTTGCGCTTCTCTTTCTTTTACTGCCCAGTGTAGGGTGTTGCCATTTCATAAGGGATCTCTCCTGATTACAGAAGGATTTATGTCAAAGACTGTGTTCTCCTTTTTATTGATGTGCTTCAAGTTCTACTCGGTGGGAAACTTACTAACCAAAATAAAAATGACCTGTGAGGCTGTACTGTCATTGTGTATCAGTTTGCATAAATGATGAGAAGCATTTTTTGAGACACTAAAAATAAGATAATTTATTTACCTCTTTGCAAAGTTATGAAGTTAATAAATAAGTGTTTAACAGTTGTCAGTAGCATGTTTTTGATACTAGGTCAGGATGGCATAACAGCTGTCGTGCTGTGATCCATCTGCACGAACCAGTTTGTTTTGGTAAAGTTTAAACTCTAGTATTGAAACTGTAGCTGAATTGTTTGATGAATGGGTGTCTGGCTTTTGTCAAACTCTTTTGAATGGATCTATTATTTTGTTAGGAATGTTGGGTTCACAGCTCCTATTTCGGAGTCTCTGACTGAAAGCTGACTTCAGTGGTTCAGACAGCGAGTGGGCTGAAGAGGTTCTTGCCCTCTTTTTGGCCAAAAGGTGCCATTTTGGGAAGGAAGAGGTAGCTCTTCCCTCCATGGACTGAGTTTGTTAGTGATAGCTTTTTGCTGTTGTCAGTTTTCCAAATGAGAAACAGGGATTGGAATAACTGGACAGTGGGGTGTTTTTTAAATGGATTTGTGATTGTTAAATGCGGTGTACCTGGGTATTTCCTGCCATGCCCCCACTGCTAGGCTACACTGCAGTGCTCTAAAAAGCTATTCTGATGTGAGAGTTAGGGGTGGCTTGACACTTCCACAGTGGTGGGCCAATTTGTGTCAGTGTCACATCTGTCCAGAGGTGGCTTCTGAAGGCAGTTAGGCTGTAGGTGGGACTTGGCCCTGCAGTGATGTATCCAAGCTTGTCTTGTTCTAACAGCTCCTCCGGTGGTTGTCCTCTTTGTGCACCAACATGTAGTACAGGAGCAGCAGATGTAGCTGGACATTCTGCCATCATAGGGGCTTTGTGGTACCCAGGTGGATATGGGTTTTTATTATACTGGATGGCAGAACTGCAGCAGTTGCTGCAGTTAGGTTTGCAAGCTAAAGTGCTGATTGAGGGTGATTGTAGCTGGTAGGTGACCAAAATGTGGTAAACCCTGTGCATCAGAAGGGAATGCCTGGAATGCAAATAGTGCCCAGATATCAAGAAAACTTTCAGACCAGAGCTATGCCAGAAGAATTTCAGCTTGTTCATCAAGCTTAGTGTATGTTGAAGTTTTCCACACTGTGCTTTAAGAAAGAGAGTTATGGAAGGATTCTTTTTAGCTGACAAAAATGAGAAGGATGATGCAGAGAGAGATTTAATCTAGCATTTAGTGTTCACATCTGTGTTGTCTAAAACAGCCACACAGGAATGTCTGGCTGTTGTCACAGGACTTTGGAATTGTGAAGGGGAATTCCACTTGCTTATAAGAAGATAAGCAAAGAAGAACTTTAACTTAAAGATCAATAACTGTTTCCTCTGAGGGCTGTTGAGTTAGTTGAATCCAAAGGAGAATTGTGGTAGATCAATAAAATTAGTTATGTTAAGATGATACGAAGTATAACAGCAGGAAATACAATTTTAAATAACCCTGTGCTGGCTGGTGTGGTAATAAGGGAGGAGGAGGAAAATGGAGGCTTTTCAGTCTCTACTCTTTTACCAAATTGAAGTCAATTTATTAAATTGAGTCAAAAATCCTTGAGGTTTTTTTCATGATAGCCCTTGGAATTAGCTAGGAAAATGACAATAAATACATATTGCTGTACCTAAATTTGAAGTACTGCCTAAAAACTTGATTGTAATGGGAAAAGCAGAATGCTTTGGGGGAATTGTCATGCCTCTGAGGTACGTGGGACATTCTAAAACGTCTACCAGAAAGAAATTTGTGGTTGCTATTAAACACAATGATACTTTGTATTCTGATTCGTTGAAATACAGTGCAGGTAAACTTCACTCATTGCTGCCTCTGCAGGGAGTCCCTGGTAGCAGTAAACCACAGGTGGCCTGGGAGTCAGAAGTTTCTGGTTAGAGTTCTCCAGCTCTTTTCTCTCAGTGCTCTTCTGGCTGACCTATCTTGGATGAGTTATTGACTTGCAACCAAAGCACTGTGTGGCTGAAATGGCTAAATTGAGGGAGAGGCTGTATCACGGAAGCCAGATGGCTGTGCTGCCTCTCACATAATCTGGTGCCAGTCTCAGAAGGTGTCTTGGCACTTCTTTCATGCCCTATCTTGAGAGGAAGAATGCCCTGCTTGCGCTGTTTACTACTTTTGAGCAACGATGATTACAAGCAATTTCCCTTCTTCAGCTGTTAGGAAAACCTCCCTGTTGCCAAAACCTAGCTGTTGCCCCTTTTGGCCATTGCTTGAGTTTTAGTGTTTGTAAATTAGCTGCTGTGCTGTACACATATAGGTTCTTGAACTGCCATGTTTAATTAAATTATGACTTCTCTGTAAGGTGATCAATGTCCTTTTGTGTTTAACTCAAAGAGAAAGTCCCTAAAAAGCCATGTTCCATGGAAACCTAGTGGAATTATTTTTGTTTGGACAGGCTGATCTTTTTTCCTTATGTTTGAACTGTTATTTCTTTTTAGCTGTAAACTACTATGAGAAATGTAGCTGAATCACTTGAGTAAAAAGTTGCTTATGCCAAGAGAAACATAGTGAAAAATTGAAAGGCACTGCAGAGTTCAGTAGGTCTCTTTTGCAACGTGATGGAAAATATCAGTGTGATACTGGTGGGGAGCTCCAGCAGTTTTTTTTGGGAGAGAAGAAGCTCGTATTTCTGAAAGCGTCTTGGATCTTTGTGCAGCTTTTCTAGCACACATGATTTGTGCAATTAATTTTCCAAATTACTTTAACAAATTATAAATTTGTAGTAATTTTCCTGCATTCAGGCTCCAGTGTTGTAAGTAGTAATCTTGCAAACTCATTATGTAAATATACTTGAACTTAGCAGGTATACTGCTGAGTAAAACCACAGTGGTACCTTTTAAGTGAGAGCTGTGTTTAAATACCCAGGGACTGCTATTTAGTCAGACAATTGCAAGAAAAATGCTATCATCCTTTGGATTATGGATTAAAATTTAGTGTGGGCTCTTGTATGAAGAACTGAAAGATGCTATTTTCTATTTTATGGATTTTTGCCTTTCCTCCTTCCCTTCCCCCCCCAGTCCACAAGAGGCACTGTGACCGCCTTCTCTCCTTTTGATGCCAGAGCTGATGCAGAAGCTCTTCGTAAGGCCATGAAGGGAATGGGTAAGAATAATTTATTTTATAAAGAGTAAAGGGCTCATACTCCTTTGAAAAAATCTTTTCTGAATTTATTTTTATATTAGCACATAAGGGTAGGGCATGCATTTACATGCCATGGAATGACAACCCCAGGACTGCAGGAGTCTGGGTGTGTCCTAGTTTTGACTGTGCTGCTATCAAGGATGTTTATTTTTAGGTTACCATAAGGGGAAAAAAAATGGTGATTTACACCTTCCCTATTGAAAACTGATACTTCACAGCATTGTCTGCTCACAGAGTTTTGCTGCACAGTAAGCTGGGCTGTGGATTTACAGGCAAAAACTTGGGAGAGTTATGACAGTAAACTAAGAGCTCTGTGCTTGGAAAACGTGTGACAGCCCCCTTGGCCTGGAGCTGTGTAAGCACAGTATGGTTACTGTGAACAAAGAATACAAGCACACAGCATGAATGTAGACTAACAAATGATCTGTAAAGTCATACTGTAGCTTTCTGCCTCCAAACTTCCACATGAGAACAAATCCTAATTAGCTTTGTTCTTTGAAGCCACCTGCAGGAGGAAGAAAAAGGAGGGGAAAAAAGGTAAATGTGATACACCTCAGCTCATTGACAAATTCAGTGGGGCTAGTGTGAGGCTGTGCTGTGAGGGCTACCTTACAAACTATGGTATATAGAATGGATAAAAGTTCTGCACTTCAATACTCTGGGTGTTTGGGTTTACTGGACTGAGTTGCTGTGTGTCACCAGATTGTTCTAAAGTAAATCCCTTGGTGACCCCAAAAGCAAGACTCCTCTGTAGAATACAGGCTGTGACTAAGTGTTGTAGCTGTTGCCTGGGGTGCTGGGAGTGATGTCTGAAACAGAGCAGTGATGGAGAACAAACAACATGTAGGTCCTCCAGTCATATATTTGCCACAGCAAAACACCAAACCTGGTGGCTCAGCTTGGGGTATGGTAACATTTGTTATTTAAATACTTCTGCTGTTTGTCAGCAGGCTGTTATTTTCAAAGCATCTTTTATTGCCTTTTGAGTTTGTGCCACTGCTGTTTGTTTTGTAGGGTGTGTTTGTAACTCTTTGTTCTTTCTAACTTCAGGGACTGATGAAGAAACTATTCTGAAGATCCTTACCAGCAGAAACAATACTCAGCGTCAAGAAATTGCATCTGCCTTTAAAACCTTATTTGGCAGGGTGAGGAGAAGAAAAATACCTCTAGAAATGTGCTGAATGTGGCTTTTGATGGTTACTTAGAACTGTGGGGTGCATTTATCACATTCCCTGTAAAAGGTTCCTTTGAAGGAAATCTAGTTTTGCTTTTGTCTCCCTCTGTCTCTCACCTTGCCATATCCTGAATTGTTGGCTAAGTTAGAATATTGCTTTTAGGTTAGCACAAGGAAGTTCCTTTCTCTGTGTGTTGGTCCAATATGTCTTATATGAGGCTTAGTGCAAAAGCTTCTGTATTTTGGTCTTGGTACACTTCTGGTACTGACCTCATTCACGATATGGAAGGAGTTATCCAATGTTTTGATGCAAGGTCTGCAATGTAAGGTGATAGCAGGAAAATAATTTTTTAGAGCTAGAAAAAGTGACAGACATAAAGCAGTCTAATACTGTAGGAGAGAACAAAACCAGATACATTGGTATATAAAGCTGTAAGTGAGTTCAAAGTAAAGACAGCTTATTTCTCCCAGCATTGTTGGATCCCTTAATATTCTGGCTGGGTAATCTTTGTTTCAAATAGCAAGTGCAGTGAACAACTAGGGCTTAAAGAATTGCTATATTGGAAAAACGAACTACAGCATGTTTTGCCTTTTCCAAATGCTCAGGTAGCCTTTGCTTCTGCCTTAGTTTGCTATGTTTGTTTCAGTTCAGGTGCCAATTAAATAAAAAAGAGCTTTGTCACTTTTTTGATGTGTCTCCAAAGTCTTCCAGCTTGCAGACACACATGCATCGACTTCAGATGGTTAGTCCTTATTCATTACAGCATTCTTTCTTCTGCATTAGGATCTTGTAGATGACCTGAAATCGGAACTTACTGGCAAGTTTGAAACACTGATGGTGTCTCTGATGAGACCAAGATATATTTTTGATGCTCATGCACTGAAGCATGCCATCAAGGTAAGAGGACTGAGGTGTGGGAATTAATACATTATATGGAATGTTTGTCGCTCTTTTGTGTTTTTTAGGAATTAACTTTTGGTTAATAGAAATAGACTTCTTTTTCTTTTTTTTTCATATTAGGAATGTTATGCCAACACTTGCTATTATCAATAATGTCATGGTTTTGCCTGGTTTCTTATTCATCCCAATAACTCATTAGAGGAAGTCTATTAATCTAATCTGTATAATGTTTTATGTGACATTATTTTAATGAGAAACTGTGTAATCTTAAAAGAATGGTATCGCTGTAGATGCAGAATAAAATGTACATAGCATAAAACTTGTTCCTTCTGATTGAAATGCAATTAGTATATGGGCACTTTGCTTTTAAATTCTTTTTGCTGCTGAAGTGCAGTGCTGAAGTCAGTGGATGCTAGATTTTTCTGCTGTGAGCAGCCTAGGTTTTACAGCTATATAGCTGTACATGTAAGTTGGAAATTACTTAAAGGCTTTTCATTAAAATGTGGTGTCATTTGTATATCTTTTCTTGACTGCAATTTAAGCTGGAGTGTGTTTTTCTCCTGGCAGCACAACTCCAAAACTGATGGGCTAGCATCCTTGTGTAAATTGGTGTCCACCAAAATTATGAGGAAATTTTATCTGTATTGTTGAATGTATTCTAAAAGCTGCTTCCAGGAATAGAGAAGAGTTGATAGCCCTGTCAGTGTTGCCTTTCCAACATTTCTCTTTAGCTGAATGCATTTAGTGCCTTTCTGGGAAGGCCAGTCTAGATATTTTAGTGTGTTTTCTTCCAAGTGGTTCTATTTATTTTTTTTTCCTCTCCTCTGTCACACATCTCTGATATCACCAGCCTGTGGAAATTCCAGACTTAGATGTTCCTGGATTATTCACAGAAACTATTGATTAAAGTATAGGACATTGAACTTGACTGGTGTTAGGTAGTGCTTGGTTGGGTGACACTTGCACGTAAACTCCCAAGACCTTTGATGACCAACTGGTTAATATGTAGGCTTTAGTCAACTGTGCAAGTGAGTGATCATGAACCCATGACCCAGCAAATAATATCTCAGAAAACAGAAACTTTAATCCCGTACAGTTTTTGTAATGTCTTTACATGCAGTGGGGGAACAGGAGATGGCACCTGACAAGGGAACTGATAAAGGTCTTGTTGACTAAAAGGAAAAAAATTATTCCCAAGCTCCTTTTGTTGATTTAGGAGTCAAAGGCTGACAGGGAAATGACAGAACAGGTAGGTGTAGGAGGGAAAATAGAGATAGTGAGATAAGGGTGGTTTTGTTCTTGTTGCTTACTAAAAATTACATTAAATTCAAGGTCATAGGATTTCAGAGAGCCTGTCTGCACGGCAAAATATGTCAATAGTAGCTGTAGTTCAGCTAAGGTGGGTAGCAACAGCAAAGAAGATAGCAGAGACTTAAGTGCAAGATAACAACTTGGCAGGGAGCATTAAGTCTGTGCTGAAGATTGTCCTATCAGTTTTCACTTCTGCTACTTAGGTCAGAACTAATATAACTGTGCCTGCCTCACTTGTTGAGTAGGCATGTTCTTGAAACAATCTGTATTTGGAAAATTACTACATGTAACCTGGCAAGTATGTGTTTTGGTTATCTTTGTATGCAGTTAGTATTCAGATTTTTCTTACAGGAAAGATAGTAAATAACATGCTGAAGCAAAAAATACACAGTATTGTATTTCATTGTTCCATTTGTGAAGTGGCTCCTTTGAAAGCATAAAGATCAATGGCTTATTCTTATGAAGTAGACTCAGATTGAGGAAACAAGATATAGGCTTGGCTTTTGTGAATTTTATCCCTTGTAAAAGTGAAGAGTACCTGTTGTGTCCACTGTAATTAGAGCACAGCTGCTTAAAGTATCTGGGTTAGCAATTCTGTTGTAAAATGTAGTTGTTTGCAGTGAAAGAAAGGGTGGGTTTAACAGAACATAGTTCAGAGAAGGGTAAAGATCATTGCTGGGTTGCTCTGTCTATCTGTGTACTAGTTGATGTGACATGGTATATGAACTAGAGCTAGGATGGAAATTGTTACTCTGTTCATTTACTGTAATACTGAAGAACAGAGGCATATCTGGGTGTGCTCGAACCTGGGAGTGCTCATCTGAATCCTGCAGCAGTGAGCCTTTACTAAGCATTGGGTTGATTTTGAGAACAATCAAGCTGGAACTGGAATAAATTATTTCCAAAACCCCCACAATATACCAGAAAGAAGAAAATAATTCTTCATTATTTGTTCAAAGTGTATAAGCTGATGCTTGTTTTTGATTGTCAGAGGGAATTCTTGTTTTCTTTTTGTTATTCAATCTGATTTACACTTGCATCTCTGCAGGGAGCAGGAACCAATGAGAAGGTGTTGACTGAAATTCTTGCTTCCAGAACACCTGAGGAAATGCGGAATATTAAGCAGGTTTATCTGCAAGGTAAAATTCTGCATAAAAGAAAGTTCTGGGGTCGCTGTTTTATTTTAATATGATCATAGCTCATATTTCAAATAAGGTCTATCAGTGAACAGGTAGATGTGTCCAAAAAATGGAATTTCATTCTGCGGTTTTGGCAAAACTCCAGGTTGAAAGAAGCTACAGTTTGGATGGAAGATATTTTTATTTTAGGGCAATGACTGCAGGTTATGGCGTTTTGTGCCTTATAGTTAGAATTAATTAAAATGTGTTTCTTTCACTCATTATTTACATCTTTTTGACTGAAAGGGGATTTTTAGTAACTGGAAACTATAAAACTGGCATCACATGAAAAAACAGAAGCTATATTTTTGCCTTTTTGCTCAGTATTCTGTTCAAATGCATTTGGGCTAAAGCAGGTGCAGCTTTTTGTTTGTCCACAGAAGTATGTGCTTTTACTCTGTGATTGTGTGTTTGGTTTTTTTTAAGGCAGTGTTTAATTCGACACATTTCTTTAACCTCTGCAGCTCCAAGCCACACAAGGAATTCTAATGTTATAATAAAGTTTGAGGCAAAATTTAGAGCCTCCAAAGGCAAAAGTTATTAGTACTGGACTTTTCTGGTCTCACAGTTGTTGTGTGGTTGTGAGACTGTCATATTATAGCTCAGCTCCAGATCTGTATGCTTTTTAGTTCAAGGCCTGAATCCGTGCACGTCACCTTGTATTTAAAAATATTTTGAGTAACATGCTCCTGATACGATGTGTGAAATGCTATCTTTTCACCTCTTTTACAATAATGTTAGACTATAAGTGAAAACAGAATAGGTCCTAGTTGTTAAAGCTGCTTATGATAAATGATTCTCCAAGCTGTGAGTCAAATTAACTTTTTACATGTCCTTGCTTTCTCAAAAGAGTGAGAAAGTCTGTGAGGTGGTGAATGGATGTTGCTGTTTTGCAGAGTATGAGGCCAACTTGGAGGATAAGATCAAAGGAGAAACATCAGGCCATTTTCAGAGACTGCTGGTGGTCCTGCTGCAGGTCAGTATCTCTGTGTGCAGGCAGGTGTGTAATATTTTCAGTTCTGTTTTCCTGTCTGATGTATACTTCTCACTTTCTGCGTACTACCTTGGCATTCTGCATAGACTTGGTGATAGGCAGGATTGGTTCTGAAACTGAGTCACTTTCCCTGCTTTGCAGAGTCAGTCTTGAGCTCTGTCATTTTCACATATCTGAATCCAAACACTTCTGTGATGCTTGTGGGTATAGCAGAATTCCTGCTACAAGGAGTTTTAAACGCAATTGAAGAAGAGAACTTATATTGCATAAAGACATATGCAAGCAGAAGGGGAAAGTAAGATGCTTTTGGAGAAGATGCATTAAGGGTTGACTCCTGCAGTAACTCTTACAGGCTCAGTATAACAGACAAGTTGCTTTTAGATTCAACTTTTGATTCTTCTGTTTAACTACTTTTTGAAATTCTCTTTAGGCAAATAGAGATCCTGATGGCAGAGTTGATGAGGGTCTTGTTGAGCAGGATGCTCAGGTGGGTGAATGACTTTGTTTTGGGGGCATTTCTACAAGTTATCTCAGACTATACAGCTTGAATTCAGACGTGAGAGAGAATTGTTATGGTTCTCTGTATTTTTTAATATGTTTTCCTCTTTCTGGGACAAAATAAGTGCCAAAATACTGAAACACTGGCATAAAGACTTTTATCACTTCTGTGTTTCTGTGTAACAAATGTCTTATTTTGCTTATTACTTAATGAGATCCCTAAAATAAACAGTAATTACATCACTGGAAGAAAGAGTTATGATTCCTGAGACTTTATGATGCGGAGAGACCTACTGATGGAAAACTCGGATGTTAATGGTTCATTCTTAATATCTGACTTGGAACTTCTCTGTGAATTCAAACCTTACGTATTGTGTCATATACATGCCGTAGCAAAATGTTAATGCTCTTCTGTGAGGGATGCCTCCATAGAGGGTGAAATACTAAAAAGAGAAAAATATACCAAATATTCTGCTTGACTGTAACCAGATGACAGGCTAAGAATTATGTTTAAAGAGTGTCTAGGAGCACAGGTATTGCCCTTTGCCAGTATTGTCCGTGACATTGTCACTGATCGCTAAACCTGTGCTCGAGTCAGGAAAAGTAATACTAGCAGTTAATTAGTTAATTATCATAGATGCTATCTCTCGCTGACTGCTCTTGGCTTTGTTGTTAGTTGCAATGGTCAATAATTCAGCAGTTTGGTTACAGACCTAATTTAGTGCATGTTTCTTCTGGGTTATTTCAGATAACTCTGGGCTATACACTTTCCTCTCATAAATTGTCAGTTGAGATGAAAGAAAATATATGGGTTATTCAAGGTGACAAGGAGGAGAAGCAGAATACCACATCAGTGAAACACTCTCCCGATAGCAAGAAGCACAAGATCCAAAAGACAGACTGGCAAAGTGTATTGTATTGGCACAGGCCTATCCTTTGTTATGCAAATTAAGAAAGCATTGTTCTCCTGCTATTAAAATTAACTGTGTGGAAGCCAGAGGTTGAAAATTAGTGAGGTAAATATTTGAATCATTAAACTGTTTAATGAAGTCAATTTCGCCTTTAGCTGGGCTTACCTAATTGAAGAAACCCATGAACTACAGGCCTTGGCAGCAAGATAGATTCCTTTTGGCCTCTTTAATTGAGTTTAAATGAGCATCTAAAATTTAGCAGGCACCATACCTAAATTTTGAAAAAGTCTTGGTTTTCTAAGTGGTCTCTTGAGCTTATGTACATTTGGCTTGAGCTGAGATCCAAACAAAGAAGTGTTCTGTCACATTTCTCTCTGTTGCTGTGTTTACATTCAAGGTCTAACATAGTTGGAGCACATTCAGAGAATTTTCTATTTAGTACTGCTAGGTACAGATGGTCAGAATTGAGGAATGTGACTGTGCAAGACTGTTTCGGGCTTCTCAGTGTTTCTCTTGATTAGTATGATATTCTAGGAAGGATTTTATACACTAAAGGGCAGCCTTTTTACTCAGTGGTGATTTTTAATTTTTTTTTTCATCTGTGATTACTAAACATGAATTCAAAGCATTTGGGAAGTGGGTATTTATACTAACAGATTGCGTGAACATGCAGGAAACTTGCAAGACTTCTGTGAGAATGCTGAAGGAGAAAGTCTAACTTTTTGGAAGACATTTTGTGAATAGGACTGTTTTTAAGTTATCAAATTGTTTTAGATGTTGAGTATTGTACAGCAGTACGTCAGGTAAAAACTCAGAGCTCAGATAAAATACCATTCACAACTTCTAGTACCTCTGAAGAAATGCATTCCTGACATTTCTAAATACTGTGGAGGGGTTTCACATTTGCTACTGGGTGGATCGTGACAGTATTCATTTGAAGAGCTTAGCATACATTATTTAAAGTAAATATCTTTGCAATGGCAAAGAGCATGCAGCAGTCACAAATGTTTTGAAAAGGATTGTGGGACAAACATAAATAGGAGATTTGTGACATCCCTTTGAGGTTTTACAGTATGGACAGTCAGATTGCCAACAGTGTTGCTGTGCTGCAGATTTGGTTGTGGGCATTTTTTTTGGGAAAATTTGATTGCCTCAGTATAGGTGGTAGCCTGTTTGCCTGTCCCTTGCTCACTGAGGAGGGAGGAAAAAAATGCTATACTCTGCAGTATGTACCAATATTTCCCCTTACACGGTGTTTAGCACACAATTTTGAAAAAAGCTCCTGAGTGTCAGGAAAAAGAACTAATGGAGTTTTCTGAAGTTTTTTTCTTTCTCATTTTACCCCTCCTGTTGTTTATTTCAGCTTCTATAAGTGCTTTACTTTCCTAAGTTCTGCTAATGCCTCAGTTGTTGTCTGCATTGAAAAAAGATTTGCCTGAAGAGCAAGGAATGTGCTAAAAATATTAAAATCTGTTACTGACCTGGTCTAATACATAAGTATCTGGCAGTCCACAAATCCTGTTTCTGAGAGCTTCTAAATCATCTTCCCCTCCTTTCCCCATTCCTCCTGGGCCAAGTTAGCCAATGGTTCTCCCATTGATGTGAGTCAACTAATAAGTCTTTGCTAGTCTGATTTAAAAAGGGGGAAGTTAAAAAGAAAACCAAAACACACAAACCTACAAAACGCAAAACAACAGAAAAAGTGGTATTTGGAATGGGTTTTATCCTCCCATATTATCCCAGTTTCAGAAAACGGAAGGTTTATGAGAGGCGCTATGTGCACAGTCAATTTTAGAGCCTTAAGCAGTATTACTCATGCAAATGCTTCCACAGTTGATTTCAGAACTTATAATTTGTTTCTTTCTAAAGTAATTTCAGCACTTGGCAATTTTAATTTTTTCCCCTCCAGCTATAGCTTGTTAGCAAGTTTAATGCTCCTTAGAGTGAGACAAATGGGGATTTTCAACAGGGTGTGTGGACACATAACAAATGCTGTTGTTTTGATCTCTCGATTTTCCAATAGGTTTTGTTTAGAGCTGGGGAGCTGAAATGGGGAACAGATGAAGAGAAGTTCATTACCATCTTGGGAACCCGAAGCGTTTCCCATTTAAGGAGGGGTAGGTGGTATGGTTCATGTATGCTTGAAAACATCTGCCTGAAGTTTCAGTTCTACCCATCTGATTTTAAAAATGGCAGGAAAGTTGTTTCTGGTACTACATTTTTCAAGCCCAGAAATCTTTAATCAACTCCTCCTCTGCTTAACACATTTCTTTCTGTTTCCAGTAATTCAGTTCCCCCTGACAGAGGTGATCTGTTTGAAGGAGTGGTACCATAGCTCTGAGGGACAGCTGGGGTGTTTCTGTGTACTTGTTTATTACTTTTTTTTTTTTCCCCTTTTGAAAGAGGTTGTGGCAGTAGAAGTCATTCTGAGAGCCTATTATGGGTTATCATAATCTGATAGAGCTCCAGTCCTGAAAAGATAAACCCTTTTATAGGTTCATGCTTTATTAGCTGTTAATAAAGAGATGATAATTTTCCCCCTGCTCCTTACCCATTTGTAAGTCTGTTTTGCCAAGGTATTTACGCCATTGGAAATAATAACCAGAACATTTTGCTCTGGTTCTCCAATCCTTTTGTTTTTCTTTTTGAACCTTTGGATTGATTCGGATTTTCAGAGGTAACTTGATATGTGATTTTACTGTTTATTTTTTCACAGTTATTTTTATTTCAGTAATCCTAAAGTTTGTTTTGGTGCACGAAACATATACTTAGCGTGATAGAAATGTAAGATTTCACAGAAAACTCAGAGCTTATAGATATTAATTAACACAGATTTGAATAGGCCAGACTTGAGCTGGCAAAGAGACCCGTTTGTGTGAGGTCAATGTGATACAGTAGCCCAGTGTACACAAGATCTTAAGATACAGGCTAAATGACAGCTGCACCCTAGGAAAAATGCTTGTAATTTCCTAAAACTTCTCTTCTTTCCCTTTCCCTCTTCTCCCTGCACCCTTTCACTGAATGGGTTCACAGAATCACAGAGTGGTTGAAGTTGGAAGGGACTTCTGGGTCATCTTATCCAGCCCTACTTGAGCAGGGCTACTTAGAGCAGTCTGCTAGAGACTGTGATCGGACAGCTTTCACACATCTCCACAACAGGACTCCACATCCTCCCTGGGCAACCTGTGCCAGTACTGAGTCACCTACACAGGAAAAAGTGTTTACTGATGTTCGGAGAGAACCCCCTGTGCATATTACCTTTTTTCCTGGCACTGGGCACCACTCAAAAGAGCCTTCGTCTTCTTTCACTTTCCCTTCACATATTTGTATGCACTGATGAGATTCCTCCTTTGGGTCTTCCTTTCTCCAGACTGAACAGTCCCAGCTCTCTCAGCTTTTCCTCATAGGAGGGATTCTTCAGTCACTTAATCATCTTTGTGGCGCTTCTCTGGATTAACTGCAGTTGCTTCATGTCTCTTGTACTGGGGAGCCCAAAACTAGACCCTGCACTTGAGATGTGGCCTCACCTGTACTGAGTTACGGGAAAGAATCACCTTTGACCTGCTGTCAACAGTCCTGATGCAGCCCATACCATTTGTCACTTTTGCTACAAGTTCACACTGCTGGCTCATGTTCAACCTAGTGCCCATCAGGATCCCCCAGGGTCCCTTTCTGCAAAGCTGCTTTCCAGCTGGCTCACTCCCAACATATGCTGGTGCATGAGATTGTTCCTCTCCAGGTACAGGAGTGTAGTGAATAGTAACAGTTGGGTAGGAAATAGATATTTAAATTAGGGAAGAATGAATGGATAGCATTAGTACAGTGGATAATGAGGTACAGATTAATTAACCTGTACTTGGGAGGATACTGGGAGAAATACTGGCCATAGATGTGACTGAGGACACTTTCTGTTTTGCAGTGTTCGACAAATACATGACTATTTCCGGCTTTCAAATTGAGGAGACAATTGACCGTGAAACCTCTGGTGATTTGGAGAAGCTGCTTTTGGCAGTTGGTAATTAAGACTTAATAGATCTAGAACTGACCTTTGTTGTCTCTCAGGGATCCTTAAATTGTAGTTGTAGGAAGTGGCATGAAAATGTGATCCCTTTTTAAAGTTAATCACCTGGAATATATTTCCATATCAAGAGAATAGGCCTTATTCTTCCTTTAATAGTTGGGGGGTTGGGAGGGAAGTGGGGCATGGGGTGATGTGATGAACTGCATTCTATTTGGTCATGTGCATCTCTGTCAGAAAGTGACAGGAAACTCTGCCTTTGTATTCCTGGCATCTCATTTAAGACAATGTCATAGTACTTTTGTAACTGGGAGTAGAATTTAACAAGCAAAGTCTATTTTCTGTTAGAAATATATGCTGTATCATGACTCCTAGAACTCAGAGTTGTAGCAGAGGAACAGACAAGCTGACAATTGTGTGACTTAATTTTCCACACCAGAGAGAATAAACACCTTGTCTCAGCAGTAAAAGATTTCCCTGTATTGTGTAACAATCAGTAATTTAAACCTTTGCCTTTTTTCAGTGAAATGCATCCGAAGTGTGCCTGCCTATTTTGCTGAGACTCTGTATTATTCCATGAAGGTGTGTACATGTTTTTCATATGTCACTCTCCATCTCCCCCAGCTACAATTCCTCTCCCTTTTGCTGGTTCATCACTATTTCTTTCCTGGCAAATGCCAACAAGATCCTAAATATCTGCAAAAAGTTTGGGTAATGCGGATCTAGTAGAGTATTTAAGTGATACATAAGCTTTACTTTGAGTTAATTGTAAGTTTGTCAGACCATAATTTTTTTACAGGAAATACCAGTTTCCTCAACTGTTTTTGGACTTGGTCTTATAATATTGGAAAATGTCTGGCTACATCCAACCTTCAGCTAAGTAATGAATACAGTGCCTTTAGGTGATGGGTGCATTGGGGAAGTAAAAATGACCAAAAACTAAATTGCTGATTGTGTAGATTTAGTACTCTTTGTTTTGGAGATGGGTATTTACAGACTGAAGGTGTAGCTAGCTTTGAAACAAAGTTTAATGACTATTCATCCCATTTTGAGAAAGAAAAGAATCTCATCAGAGGAAAAGGGAAGAGGCTTAAACAGCTGCAGAAGATTCTGCAGGAGAATCCCATCATTGACACAGCTGTATTTCTGTTGGCTTTGCCTTCTCTTGGATGGGAAGAGATAATCAGGGAAAAATTTATTTTAAACTCACAGTGGCTAATATTATTATTATATTAATTAAAACCAAGGTAGAATAGTGAATTGTTTTCAGACAAGTGATCAGCTGCTCTGAAGAATTCCTCCCTTCCCCTTGCAAGAAAGTGCTGAAGTATGTTTGTCACCAGATGGTTGTGTTGATGAAGTGTCAGCATGAGAATTATTGAAAAGAGATTATATGATAGCTTAATATTCGAAAGCTGTTTTACTGCTTTTATAAATATCAGTGTAAAATAAGATTCAGGTGGAAAATATAGAATATTATACCAGTATGCTGAGAGCTGTATGAGGAGGATTACTTCTTATTTCTCTATTTATTGATTTTAATTTTTAAAGAAAGTAGTAGAAAACCTTTTCCTGTAGGTTTTACGTTTCTCTTTGAGGGGCCTGAATAATGTCTGCTGATGAGATGCCCACTTATTTTAATATAAATAACAATCATTAAGCACTTCAGATAAGGAGGATCATAATTTATGGCTTTGGCAAAAGAGTTTGTACTTCGATTTAATCAGTTTGGCATGACAAAATTATGAAACATGCAGAGTTTGCTTTGATGATTAGATGGGATGGAGCCTGGCTTTTAGCAGATTCTAATGTCAAATCCTCTTAGAAACCACTGGACTCATGGCATAACTTTTGAGCAGCTTTAGGGCATTTTTAGATGTAATCCAAGAATATTACACCCAGTCGAAGGATTGAGTGACCGTGGACGTTAGGCTGAAGATGATCGTGGGGGCTGTGCCAAGTCCTTCCTTGAGGTTCATTAGCAGGTCAGCATGTGAAAATATGTATTGCTTCAGCTTGTGTGGAGTCTGACTTGTCTGAGCAGGAGGGGTCAGGATGTTGGTCTGGCACAGCCTGCCAGCACAGGAACTTCAAATGTTTAAAACAATAGAAGTGACTAAGAGTGGAGCATGTTTGCGTGGTTGGAAAAAATATAATGAAGTTTGCCTTCATAATAAATAGTTTGACGATTTGTGCCTATGTGTTTGTGTATGATGTTTCATGCTTTGTATTAGTCATTGTTAGGATTTATGTACCCAGTTCCAGAACTGACTGTGATTCTGCAGCCTGGGACTACAATGAAAGGGTCACTTGCATGTGATTCTGCTCATGGTGATCAGCTATACTATGTACTTTTGGAACGGGATTATTTAAAATTTCTGTTGGCTTTCATGTCTGAAGCCTGGGAAATGCAACATGAAGTAAGAGGTCTGATCGTATGGTGATTCACAGAAATCCAGGGATTAGAGCACCTTGTATATAGTCAGGGCTCATGTTCACCACACTGCAGTGTGAATGTCTTGTGATACTGTCCCAGATATTCTGTTTTGGAATAGAAGTGGAATGCAGGAGTATTTTCAGGCACCACTTGTTGCACTTGATGCTTTTGTGTTGCACACTGATTGTTTGCATTTGTTGTTTTGCTGCAGCATCTGTCCTTAACAAACTTGTACTTCAATATTATTTAAACTTTCCTCTTTAGGGGGCTGGCACTGATGATGATACCCTGATCAGAGTCATGGTCTCAAGAAGTGAAATTGATCTGTTGGATATTAGACAAGAATTCAGAAAGAATTTTGCTAAATCATTGTATCATACGATTCAGGTAAAATTACTGTTTTGTTGCCAGGGAAAATGGGGGTTACTGAGATGTCATTGTTTCCACTATTTATTTTTGTTGGAGGGGCCAAATGTGAGTATAGCTGGACAGCACAGTGCACTCTGGGAGCGGTGGTGGCTGCTCTGCAGTTTTGTGAAGTACCTCTCTCATTTGAGTGGGGGGCACTTCCTACATGAAGCTAAATGTTTTTTTCCAGTGTTCACTAGGAGAACAGATGCACTTTTCTGAAATTATGATTACTCATACACCATTTTTAGCTCATGTTTCATTTCCTTTTTCTTGTCTGGGTTCCCTCTGATTTTCACTGCTTCAGAGAGGGTGCTGGCTACAGGGAAAGAATATTGGGGTTGGAAGTCTGAATTATCATATGGTTGAAGTTTAAATCTTGGATTGTGGTGCGGAACCTTTTGCACCATTTCAAAGTGGAAAGCATTTCACTGTGAAATCAGTCTGAATCATAACCTCCCTTTGAGTGGATGGGAAAGAGCCAGCAAGAAATCCAGAGCCAGCTATTGCTGCGAAGTTGAAGCCAAAATACTTCTTTTCGTATGTTTTTTTTAGAGTATTTTGTTTTATTTTTTTTTAATGCTGCTTTTTATGGTTTTCTTTTACCATTCTTGACATTATGCTGTCTTAATTAAGCTGGGTGGAGTTGCTTTTGACACTGTCAGTCAGGTCCATGTGGCTGTCCTGTGGAATTAGTAGCAGACCTTCCCATTAATTACAGGGAGCAGGGCTAGGGCCTTTCTAAGTGATGGCAGTTGCACTTTGTACATTGAACAGTGGTTGCTTTTGATTCTGCTTCAGCCTTCTCCTTTGTTTCGACTTTGTCTTGCAGATTAATGCATTCTAAGGTGCAATGGGTAGCTTAGTAAAGCTTTTGGAGGCTTGTGTTTCTGAAAGTATCTGTCTAAATACAGCTCTAATGTAAAAGACAGAGAATTTCCTTGCATCATTCCCAAGTGAGGAGTCATCCAAGTGGATTTCCTGTGGGTGGGACAAATGTGTAATCTCCTGGAGTCCTCCTTGGCTGCTGCTTTTCTTGACATTTCTGTGGTTGTGACTCATGGTGACTGGTCTGTTGTATTAACAGAAAGATACATCTGGGGACTACAGGAAAGCGCTCCTGCTCCTCTGTGGTGGAGAAGATGACTAATGGTGACAATGACATGAAGGATTTGTTGTACTCCAGCTTTGCAGCCCTTTAGTTAGAATGTCTAGCTACGTTTTTGTATCTTAATGCTTTGTGGCTGTTTGAATTCATACTAGTATTGCACTTATTAAAATGAGCATATTGTTATCCAGGCGATAGCTAGTCCCTCCTCTTCCTGACATCCCAACTTCCAGGAATTTCAAGTGCCTTCTGTGAATATGTGAGAGTTGTCTTCATAGAAGATGAGAACTGAGCACAGAACCCAGTTCTTTGCAAGTGTTCTGCTGAAATAAGAAAAAAAAAATCATGTATTTCACTAATAATTTGGAGATAATGTTTTTGCTTATATTCCTGACATTTCCACTAAGTCTTAAGCTAGCTCTAACATAATTGCAAACAAGAGAAGATATCCTTTGTATGTAATATTTGAATGAATTTGCTGAACATAATACAAGCAATCATTGGAAACCTAAAGGACCAATAAATTTTTTTCCCCCTAAGCACAATTGTATGTGATTTTTAATGGGCAAAGATTCATTTTTCCTTTTGTATGGTTCCACTACTTCAAATGGTTGGTGTATTTTTCCTACTAATAAGCAGGCTTCTGAGTATGTGTGATATTTTCCAGCTGTACATCTTGATGTCTAGCCTAATTTGTGGGTGCTGTGGTGATGATGCTGTTCAGTATAGCTGGAATACTAAATTATTGGTATTTGAGTAAATTATGGGTATTTGCTGAGCATTGCATTCCCATTTTGTCTTTTTCTTTTCCAAAGCTGGGGGAAGGAAGGAGAGCTGTTTGCACAGTCCCAGAGCAGAGCAGACATGCTGCACTTCTAGGACCAGTTGAACATTTCTGAGATGGAAGCAGGTGAAGAAGAGATGGAAAGACAGTGATCTGTATTTCAGGAATCTTGGGTGAAAAGAGGATGGTTGCAGCACCACTCTCTCATCAGGTTAGCAGGGAGCAAAGCACAATGCAAAAGAAGCACCAGTCTGTTATATAGGCTGCCTTAAACTCACTGCTTTAGTTCTGCATTTATGACTGGCTCTGAAAATTGAATTGACAATGTGTGAAGGAGAATAAAGAGACGTCTGTTTTATGAATTGCAAGGTCTAAACACCATGGTTCTAAATTTAGCTGATTGGTTAGTCACATACATCAGCTGCAGAAACTGCACATTTTAGTAGTCCTGTGGAAATTGATTCTTCACAGATTATTAAGAGCTTTAAAACTTTCATATGGAATAAATGTCAAGTTTTAAATGTTTTATATTGTAGTTCTGAATTATTACTGTCATGATCTCTTGCTAATAAGCACTTAGTTTCCAATGTAAAATATGAAAGCTCTTTTTATAAGTAAATATGTTAACTAAAGCCTAATCCACTCTAAAAGCTTCTTTATTTTCCATTCTCTCCGCCTTTCCTATTCATGCACTCTCACTTTTTCTCCTTTCTGCTTCTTTTCTACCAAATTTAAGACTTCCAGACTTAAAAATCAGTCATGCTGGTTTAAAATTCTTTTTTTATGAGCCAGTTAAATGCTTTTCTTTGCTGTTTCTGGGCAGTTTACTGTATTTTCCATGTCGTTGCTGTTTGTGGGAATGGCTGTGTGTGTGCTTTGCATCTCTGCCATAATTTAAACTGGTATAAATGGTGCTGCTGTAATCCTGCCCTGCCCTCTTCTGCAAGCTACATGTTTCCCACCTTTCCTACATGGTGGCATTAAGCTCCTCTGACCCTTTGGGTGACCATATCCAGGGTCATGGGCTATCAGAATCCAATCGCACAGCTACAGCCTGATGCCCTTAGTAACTCCTTGGGGCATCTGGTGAGGACTGTTGGTGGTGCAGGGAAGGGTTAGAAACGTGCAGAAATTTTGTGGGGAGATGGGATTCAAACTGGGTTGCTCTGGAGTGTTGTCTGCTGTCACAAACTGCACCTGGGATTACAAAAACCTCACAATATTAACAGAGAGATTCTTCAAATCTGCAGGTATAGACCCAAATGAAGAAATTTGGCTTGAATGTGAAGTCACAAGTGGTGCCTGATTACTTCAGTCTCATGACTGTGCTTTTATCATAACATTTCTTCCACTTCTGTCTGTCTGAGGAAACTGAAGCAGAATCCAGATGTAGAGAATCTACTTAAAAATTAAACCAACATTCCAGTACTTGAAGGGGCTACAGGAAAGCTGGAGAGGGATGTTTTACAAAGGCATGGAGTGATAGGACGAGGGTGAATGGCTTTAAACTGGAAGACAGGAGATTTAGATTAGACATTAGGAAGAAATTCTTTAGCATGCAGGTGGTGAGACACTGAAACAAGTTGCCCAGGAAAGCTGTGGCTGCCCCATCCCTGGAAGTGTTCAGTCACAGAATATTAGGGGTTGGAAGGGACCTCCAAAGATCATTGAGTCCAACTCCCCAAGGCCAGGTTGGATGGGGCTTGAATATGATCATGTTTTCCAAATAACATGATATAATGGTAATAAGATTCAAGTAGTAATATTTTTATTTACATCTCTAGGTGTTTGGCAGAAGAAAAAAATAAACATTTGGATTTTTTTGTTCTCCTCTTTCCTGAGATTAATTTTCAGCATTTTGTCAGTGTTGATTTTTGTCAAGTATTTACAAAGTATGTTAGGAAGGAGTATTTATTTGCAGTTACTCGTTCTTGAATAACATGGTCAGCTGCACATGCAAGAATCTTAGCATGACCTCTGCCAAGAAATATCTTATGATGACAGCAAGTTTGGTTCTTTGGTTTGTTGAGCTTTTTTTTTAGTGAGTTAGTATTTAGACAAAATAATTGCTGTGTGGGACGTAGAGAGAGAGTTGCCTCCCTTGTGTGCTTAGACACTATAATTATTTTTTCAGCTTCTTTCAGTTTCTTAAGAATTTTTAGGAAAATAGCATCTGATCTTCATTATTTGTTACTGGTTGTTACTGGTCCTTTTGTACATTTTGTTGCATATTTTCTCTTGACACTTGAAATGCATCCTTCAATGTGTGCCATGGAAAGAAGGCCCCTGCTGCATTTTCCTTCACCAAAGGCAGAAGAATCTGTGATGATTGGATAACATGTGAAGCTCTTCCAGTAAAGGTTGACCAGTGTCACAAACCTCATGTTTGTGTGTTGAATTGAATGATCAAAATTACTGCCAGAACTTATAAAATGTAACTCTGAACAGGAGGTGTCTTAGGGATCAGTGTATCAGCCAGTTACAGAAAGTTTTAAGATGCAAATGGTGCAGAAGCATTTGAAATTCCCTTTTGAAGTAATTAAACAGGGAAAACAAAGTCTGACAACCTGTCTTCTCTAAGAAGTCTAATTAAAATGGAAATAAGTTTATTGAATTATAATATTTCTAGTGTTTGAGATGTACCTTCCTTTTAGGAATACAAAATATGCAATCTCCAGCACACTGCAGTCCCAAGATAACTTTAAATTATAGCTCCCTGTGATTTAACTATTGCCACAAATAAGGTAATTAATAATTGATATTTGGTTGCTTTGTTTTTTTTCTCTCCACCTTCTGATTTTGATTCATTAAAATATATGCTCAGTTAATTTTTGGCTCAATTCTGAAGTGTTGATAAATCATATCTATCTCTTTGATAAGTCAAGAGCAAATTGTAACATAAGCACTAAAAGAAATGCTCTTACCTATGAAGAATCTATTTTGAAACAAGCTCAAAGACATCAAATATTGTTGATTTTGTCTGAAGAGCCTACTCTCCCTCCTTTTTCCTTCCCACAGAAAAGTTTTTAGGAGATACTATTTTACTACTAGATATACAACACTATTTGTTTTCATCACAGAAAATTTATTTTAGCACTTTTACTTACAGCGTAGTGGACCAAAAAAAAGGTGGAATTTATTAGTTTGTTTCTTTGAATATTTTCCTCATTTAAAAAAAATTGATAGATACAAAAGTATGTTATTTAGGTTTGTGATACATGCTTGTTAAGAAAAACTGTACTTATTTTCTTGTCAGATAATCCTGCCATTTAGAGAAAATATTCTGGTTGAGGCCTTTAAATATAAAACTAAAATACAAAGAAAGATGTGTACAGAAATATGGAGTTAATGTTAAGAATTAAACAGGATTTTGTGGGCATGTATTACTGGATCACCCGATGTAGTGCTGTTCACATTATTTCTTTATCCCATTGCTACTCTATGACAGCTGGAATTGCTGTGGGCATTTATTTACTCAAATCTGTCTTGAAAGCAGTAGTTGATGAATAAGGCAATCCTACCCATGAAAAGCCGAAGCAATAATAATTATTCTTTTCTCCTGTTTTGATTTAGTGTACAACACATCTAGAAGTCATAGATCAGCAAAGTATGTCCAGTATATTGGAGAGTGAGTCATTATGGTGAAGAGCATGGATGATAGCTTTTGTGTTCTGTAGAGGTATTTTTGGAATCCTTTAGAAATGCAGCCTGATAGTTCTTGAAGCTGCTGTTTTCTTCCTCTAACGCTGCACAGAGGAATGGGCTGGAGAGAGGTGGGGCTGTTGGACTAGTTACAGGGTGCAGACTTTTTTACTGCACCTTCATTTCAAGCTTGGAGAGTGACTGAATATGGAGAAATGAGATTAGATCAGTCCTTAACTAATGCAGAAGCTGGTTTCTCTGCTGGAGCTGTTAATAGAGATGCTGACTTTGAGGATGATTTTTGTCTTGTCAAAAGTATTATCAAGTGCATCCTCAGAAATGGGACTTTTTCAGAGCTCATTTTAATTTTTTCCCCCATTTCATTTCTGTGACCACAGCTATACATTTATCTATTCTTTCAAGAAATTAATTGCTCCTCTTGTAAAATCCCTTTTCCAAATGCCTAGGGCAGGCAGGCTCTTATCTTTCTCTATTTGGCATTCCAGGAGAGGTGAGCTGGCTGGTGAAGAACACGCAGCTGCTCTGGGTTGCTTTCATCAGAAATAGTAACTTTCCTGTCTGAAATTAATATTTTTAATTTTTTTTTCATTTAAAACTTGCAAGACATAGAAAGTATGTTAAAAATGTTGTTGAAAAGAATCCAGAGCCTGGAATAGATATTTGGAATGTGACTATAAAGCACTTTGTAGGTAACGTACCTGTCAAGTATCTGTAGTTTATTATAACTGACATTGCATTTTTGACTTGTGAATGAAAGGCCTCATCTCTTTGAGTAAAGCTTTTAATCATATGGTTACTTTTGTCCCTGCTCAACAAAGAATCTACGGAAGTGTTGAAACCTTGTGGAGGTGTCTGGGCTAGTCATCTCCTTGTTAGGGGTGCTATGAGCCTTCCAGTCACAACCTGTGAAGAGTTACCTGTGGCCCACATTTCTGTGAGCAGTGCCCTGAAAGATGGTGAGAGCTGATCTGGTGCCATCTGGAGTGGCCCCATATGCTTCCCGCATTCAGGGCCGTGTCTGGTGGTACTGCATGAAGGCTGCCATGTGGATTGGACTTGTTCTTTCTGCACAGTTTTCCAATTCACTACTGGAGTATGCTGTGAGGCCCAGGTTGTATCTCAGGCACTAATGATTGTAAATCATTAGTGTCTGGCTGGGGGCAGCACCTACGGGTCTATCCCTCTCATCTGTACCTAGAACCTGAGGTAGGGCACCCATAGCATCCCTGCTGCCTAGCCAGCAAGAATTCCTTACCTGCCTGGCAGTGCACTTACCTCATTCGGAAAGTAAATAAATCACAAAAAGATTTGTTCTGGTTGTGGCTTCAATAAGTATTTCCTGCTGTAGTCAGCAAAAAGAGCTAGTTGGAAAGGCTTGTTTCTATTCTTATGTATTCTTAAAGCGCAAGTTCCTCTGTGTGTCGAGGTACCTAGTGAGTTCAATTCCCATTTCTCAAGTGGGACGGCAATGGTGTTTTCTCCCGGAGGTGCCGGTGCCATTCGCCATGTGGCCAGTGGATGGTGCTGTTGCTCCAAGTAATGTCATGCAGACGATCGTGATGCTCGAGATTGTATCATTCTCTCAAATCACTTGCTTAATGGGGATTTTATTTTGGTTCTTTTTTTCAGATTACTTTCTCTGATTTCCTCAACCTAAAGTGTGAGTCAGACAATTTTGTATAGTTGTATTTTCAGAATCCTTTAATATAATCTTGTTTTCAGTAGAAAATGAGAGCATGCCGATTTGTGGAGAATGACAGATACACTTCATTAGAAGTAGGTGGCTTTATGCATATCTTTCTTAATGCTGAACGTTTACCTTCTACACTCTGAACATATGCAATATCTAGTATTCCTCCTCAGTCACAATTAGAAAATACATTTTTGTTAAACTTATTTACAATGTGTGAGTTTAGTGGAACAGATTTTACTGGACAGTATTATTTGATATACAAAGATTTCTAACCTCCAGTCTCTGGGTTGCTACCATGTTTTAGTAAGCCTGTGGCATTCTTTCATATCTTTCAAGCATCAGTGTAACTGCCCTGCAGCATCTAGAGAAGCAGAAAGGCTGTGGAGGATCTGATATTTTAGACAGTGTGTAATCAGTAGGAAAAACTCATTATTCCTAGGGAGCAGAATTGAGTGCAAAGATGAGGTTACAAATTTTTTTAAATTTCAGTCACTTGTAATAACAAGGTGTGACCATTGTTGGACGTGATGATGAGAAACCCTCAGAGCAGGGAAGAGAAAGGGTGCCGTAAGACACAGACTAAACTCTGCTACTGCAAAAAAACCTTACCCATTTTTTCTTATGGGCTTCTGTTGTCTGAGGAATTGTATGCCTGGCTTTTTTTCTGCCAGATCTAGCTGCTCATCAGCTGGATCGGAGTTGCTGATCTGTGTTGCAGCATAACTTGTAAGAGTTTTTGATGCACAGAGAAAAAAACATCTGTTACCAAAAGGAATAGTAAAATAAGCATCCTCAGGTTTTTTTGCAGTTTCTTTGCAGGTGTTCTAGATTCAAAGGGATAAATGTGGTGATAATCAGGGTATGCAAAAGTTTCAGCCCAGATTCACAGCAATAGTATTTTGCATTTATCTTCCATTGGTATCTATAGGAAATAGGCTCCTAAATCTTCCTAAACCATGTGTTAATAGAATTTAATCCATGAAATAGTCTAATAGCTTTAACTTTTTGGCTACTTCTAGCCTTAATTTAGTAGGTAGCGGTATTGTAGACCAAGAGGTCCAAGTCTTCATCATTCTTTTATATACATCTATGGAGTGTGTCATGACAGGCAACCTGAAGAAACAGGAAGAAGCCAACCTGTGTAGGTGGTTGTTTCCACACACCCTGTAGTAAATGTACTTTCTTCTTGCTCTTCCTGTTTTCAGTCTCCTTCAGTAATAATGGGCTACTCACCACATATAAGGAGGCCTAGGAAGTACAATAGTATCCCTGAAATCTAGTGACAATGTTATTAGAAGTCTTGCTTTATATTAATTGCGAGTCTTCATCTTATGTTCTTTCACACTGACTGCTTTGTATGTGGAAATTTAATAAGTGAAGTTCCTCTGTGGATGTCCTCTAGACCTTCATTAAATGTATTTTACCTTTTTATCTGTGCTCGCCCTTCTGGCATTTTATATTAACTTTCAAAAAACAGTCCTCTGGTGGCAAGGATGGATGGAAGAAATTAGGGATCTTACAGTTGCTGACGATGCTGGCACCACATGAATGTGAATATGAATATTGCAATAAAAAATGCATTTCATTTTAATGTGTGTTAGCAATGGCAGCTTCTAAGTAGAACTGACTTTACAGCATTGCCATCCACTGCTAGTAGTGAACAAACACAGTGTCTAATTGTAGGTGATGCTTCCATCGTATTCACTGTCTCAACAGCCCTGCTAACATTATATGCAGACCTATATATGGGCTATTTAAAACAGTCTCTCCTAGGTTGTTCCTTACTAAGACACAGCCAAGATTTTCCTTAACAATAATATACACTAATTGACATGACTTGTGAAGAGAAGAATAAAGCTGGGTTGTTGGTTTTTTCCCCCACCATTCCACCCCCTCTGCCTTCATCTTCCTGATTTATGTAAAGATTTTAAAACATTTTATGGATGCTGTTATCTGCAGGTAATCTACCTTGCTGCTTTATAAGAAGCATAGGCAGTGATTCTCCCATACAAAACTGGGTATAAAACATCTGTTAACCTTAAGGATATAATTTAACAGCCACCTTCTACTGCCATTTACAGTGAGTAAAAATATTCTAGCATCCATCAAAGACATCCTCTGGCTAGAGGAAACAAGTAACAGTCAAAATGATTGTGTAATTATTTAACCTCTTTACATAAGGTTTTGCCTTTGCTCAGAACCTACTGTGTCACCTTCACTGAAGGCTGATACATCTTAATCCATATTTATTTGAAGTCTCCTCTCTGATCTATCTTACTAGGCTCTTCTCTTGCAGACTAGAACCCAAGTTCTCCCAAGAGAACACTACCTTTAAACAAAATATAACTTGTCCCAGTTTGCCTATGTCCATGTGCAGGTAGAGCTTTAATGTTGTTGTGGCCCATAAACTATGAATGCTACTTAGAGAAAGGATGCAAGGTTGCTGCTGGGAAGAAAATGACTGGTGAGGGGTAGGGATGAGAGAAGGCTATGAACTGATAAATGACCAGGAGAAGGGGCGGAGTCATTATTTGCTGTTCTCATAATAGAAGAGCCAGAGGCCTCCAGTAACATTGCCACTTAGTAAGTTTGAAAACAAAATGAAACAAAAAACATTTTGCATGATGTGATTAGATTACAGAACTTGCTTTAATATGGTACAATTGAGATCATGACTATAAACAACACTTAGAAAAAGGTAAGTTCCTGCAGATAGGTCTGTTGTTAAGTTTTAGATCAGGTATGGTGTCTAGCTCACACTGTTCCCAGCTGCCTTTCCTGGAAACTAGCAGGGAGCCCTGTACTTTTTCTGTTTCTGATGCTTTTTCATGACTGTCACTGCAGGCAACTAGTTATTGGATTCAATGGCTCATCCTCTGACCCAGATGGCGTATTTTATATTTTTCACCCCTTAATTCCATGGCTAGCAGCTAGTTTGTCTTTCCCATGCCTGCTAAGTCACATTTTAAAAAAGCACAAGATGCATGTCAGACTTTCTCCACACAAGTAAGTGCTGCATTTGTCAGCAGGTTGTTAATTAATTGCCTCTTGGGAATGACCTTGATTAAAGTCTCAGTGAGCTGAAGTGATTCAGTAGAAAGAGCTGCCCATCAGGGGTGTTGTAGATGTGGCTGGCCCTGCCTTGGTAAGGGGAGAAGAGCAGTGTTTCTCAACCTATTTCAATTGAAGACTCACCGTTTGGGGGGAAAAAAAAAACAACAAATAAAACAACATAGGAAAGTTCTGAACATGCATCTGTTTCACCCCAAAAATATCTCATATTTTATTAATTTGTTTGTGGGGTATGTGAGAGTAAATGAATGAAACCTTTCTAATGAGGGTTTGCAAGTGGTTTATTAGGCTGTATTCTGGTATCTGTTAAATAACACTGCTTAAGGTGCCTTCCTCTTCTCCCGTGTGTGGAGGGACAGCAACAATTTTGTGGCCCATCTTTTGCAGTGCAAAGGTGATGGTGGTGGCAGATACCTGCATGTGTCAGTCTTACATGAGTGCCTACAGTCTTTGGATGCTGGCTCTTAACCCTTCTGTTTTTCCCCAAGCTCATCTGCAGGGCTGAATGCAGCATTGTAGTTTTCTTACTGTTCACAAAATGCACTAATTGTAGTCTTACTACTAGTTTGTGGGGTTTTTTTCCAAAATTACACTCAACTGAAAGAGGTAAGTAATGTGATTGCTTTCTCTGTCATTTTCCTTCCAGATACAGTTGGAAACATCTCAGTTCTGAGGAAGTTTTGCTTTAAGCAGACTTCTGCCACTTGCTGGTCTCAGAAGCAAAGGATGAGGTATCTCACCCTCCTGCAGTCTCATCCAAGGTCTGCACTTGCCCAGAGCAACACCAAATGCTGATGGACAGTAAAGATCTGATGTCAATGGAAGCAGGTCTGTCTCTTTATTTTTCTTGCTTACACATTTCAGAATGCCCACAGCTCTTGGGGCAGGACACTGAACTTGCCTAGCCTAGAACAACCACAGTAGGGGTATAAATGAACAGACTAAATTCTACTTACAACTGCCAGTGGAAATGGCTGCATTTATTTTTGACCATGCACATGATAAACGCTGTAACTGTTCCTCTCCAGCTGCATTCCCTCCTTTCCCCTCAGCCTGCTTGTTTATGGACATATTTACTTTTGAAGGCCTGACAATTGGTTTGGTTTTTGGACTCTTCTCTTTGAGTTTGTCAACTCAGCTGCCCCAGTAACAGCAAGGGAAAGGTCAAACAGTCAGCAGCATAGAGCTCTCAAAGCCTCCCGAGGCAAGGGACTTGTTATTTTCAAAATGAAAATGTTAAACTGACAGATGGGAAACTTGTAGTGTAAGAAGAGTAGTATTTGTGTAGACAGAAGTGTCTTATTTCAGCATTGCTTGGCTTGGCTTTAGGGTATTTGTCAGTCAGTACTGATAACACCTAAAGTTATAATTGTAGCAGATTGGTTTAATACTGTCAAGTTTATACTTGACCATATCAAAGTGTGCTTTTAAAATTAATGTTATACCCAGTGTTTTGAACATAGGGTCTACATTTTCAGTCTTAAATAGTAAGTGGTTACAAAGGACAAAGAGATAATTGTGTTGTAGAGTCCATTCTTTCTCTGCTAGACCAATACAAGCTCCTGACAGTGACTGTTCTCCAGTTGCTGTGTTCTGTTCCCTAAAATTATGTTTTTGCTGTACAAAGCCTGTTCCCTGGATCAATGGGTTTTGCTGTATGGCATGGTCAAGCTCAAGAGATGTGTATTTTCTCAACAAGGTTCTGCAGACTGGGACTCTCCTGGTAACACTTGCTAGGTCATTTTTGTTCCCAGTGGTTAGGAAACCAATC